CTTCTCGGTAACTTTGATTCCACCAAATAAAAATTTATGTTTTCATCACCAAAACCTTTCTATGAACCTTTAAATTAAAATAAATTCATTTAAACTTTCTTAAGTTTGTCCTGTCATCAAAACTTTCCCATATAAGTTAGAAGATTTACTTATAAATGAATTGTATTAAAAGATATGAAACACTTTTACATTACAAATTTAAAACATTAGATGAAGGCAGAACTATGACAAAAATATATTAATGTCGGGGTTTGTTCTTATTAAACAAAAATAAAATAAAATTTGTTTCCCAAAAAGTTGGCATATAAAAATGGTTCTGGTTAAATGGACTGAACTTATATGGCGCTTTTCCAGTCACTTTGTTCACTCGAAGCGCTTCACATTCACCCATTCATAAGAACCCAGAGGAAACTGACGGTGGCAAGACGGTCCGCTATCCGCACAGCCACAGTCGCCCTGGTTCTGGTTCCGCTTCTGGTTCTGTGATAATCCAGAGATAATTCAGTAACGGATTTCAGCTCTGCTCTAACCAGCATTAGTTTCTTTCTCTTACTGGTTTCTCCTCATTGCTGGAATAAATCTCTCATGTTGGGTCCAAATATCTCTTATTTGACAGCAGATTCCGGTAAAATGCGTTAGTTAAATCTGCTGTGAATGTGTCCGGATAAACTAAACTAGTTCTATAAATAGTGAATAAAACATGAAAAAATGTGTTTTCTGTTTTCCGTGCTTCAGTTCCCTCAGTGACCGCTGGGTGGCGGTGAACGTTTACTAAAACTGCAGACAAACCACGATCAACACTTCCTGTAGAATACCAAAATAAGAGCCCAGGCTGATCCGAGCTCAGAAAGTCAAACTGCTTTATGGTAAGATTAGAATCTCAACCCGTCCCGGTTCGGTCTCGGTTCTCCAGGCCTTTAATGGATCCAGACAAACTGTGTGAAGTTGGGTCGGGGTTCTGAGAGTCCAAACCGACCCGGAGGTTCCGGATGGAGAAAAACAAACTTGGGTCACCAGAACTTCAGTGCCTGGCTATTTGTTCGGCTGTGGTTCTGTCGGGTTTGATCTGAACCGGTTTGGTCCGGTCCGGTCCAACACTGGTCTCCAGTGCGTTTCCCTGGGACCTCAAGTCGAGCAGACAGAGGGCAGAACTTGGAGGGAATAAAATAATTTGTGGCTTTAAAAATTTAAAACAACAATCTGAAAAGTGTGGTGTGCTTTATTGGGTCAGAACTCTGGATCACCTACTCTCACTGACAGGAGGGATGGAACATCAGCTTTGACTAGGCCATTCTGCTGACCGGCCCATAACCTCCACCAGTCTCAGGTGGACACAAACTGGACTCAGAGACATGGAGGAAATGAGGGACAGTGGACAGGATGAAGACTCTAAAAAACAGGGACCTCACAGGCTTTTATTTTGAAAGGTCTTTCCGTCATGTATTTGTGTACACTTGATATTCAGAAAACAGAAGAAAGCAGCTACTGTACACACTCTCTCTCTCTCACACACACACACACACACACACACACACACACACTCCCCCCTGCAGTGTTGGAGCTGCTGCAGATTCTCTGCATCGTCAGAAACCAGAGAGGAGCTGAGATCCTCCGTCTGCTGCTTTTCTCCACATTTACTTCAGTTTCCAGACCCGCTGCTGGAGCCGAACCTGTCGGAACCACCCGGACTCACCCGAACCTGCCGGACCCACTGGACCCCCTGCAGAGACACAATGAGCCTCACCCTGCTGCTGGCTGTGGAGTGAACCAGGTGAGCCTCCAGAGGTGAGAGAACCTGCTTCTGGTCCCGGTTCTGCTGGTTCTGGGTGGGCGTGTCACGCCTTTGTCTCAGCCTGCGGCTCTCGGCGGCTGAACGCCTGGAAGGTTCTGACTCTTATCAAATATTGGCCCGGAGCTCAGCTGCTCTCCTCCGGCTGGTTCCGTTCAGGTCGAACTGGACCTCAGCTGCTCGGTTCTGGACGGGTTCTAGAACGTGCTGCAAGCGGCCGGCGGTCTGACGCCGGTCCACTTGGTCCTGCTGGAACCAGCAGATCCATCCGCCGATGAATTTATTCAGCTTTATGTTTGATTTGAAATGGCGCCTTATTATATTTATAATTGGGGCCTGCCCATAGCAATGCATAGGGACTGACCCATCCACAAAAATGGTATCAAAACGTGCGGCTCGATCCCGGCATTGGAGCTATTATTTTT